GATATCCTATAATATTTATGATTTCTGAGTTACTGAACCAAATTTTTTGCTTTAATAATGCTCTTTTTTTCTAAAAGTTAAGTCCTTTAATTATACTATCCCTTACACTAAAGCAAACTTTAGGAGTATTTTCAAATTCAATTTAACGAATTGCAACATATTAATTCAAACTATAATAAAAATATTTCATTTATGTAATTGATAATCAATATGTTACAACAAAATATGGTTTAGTTATATATGATAAATCAACTAAAGTATCTAAATCAAAACCGTGCAATACTTTTGTCCTCCTCCGGTATATAATCTTATATGAAAATACTGCTGCAAACTTCTCGCTGATTATAAGGCATCAAAAGGTATTACTAAATAAAACAAATGAATGCAAAATGCCTGCAAATGTTTACGTATTCTCCTAAATAACCTTCATTCCTAATTTGAAAATTATAGATTCATTTAGCAAATAATTTTGATAACTCTTGAACAGATTTTTAGATAGGCATTGACTCTTTCTTTTTCTTTTTCTAATGATTATAGTAGTCATTAAATATGTATTTAATAGGTCTGTTGGAAGGAAAAAATGATGATAGGTCAATTTAAACAAATTTGTAATATAACTATGAGAGATAGCTAGTACTTTTAAATTAGTTTTTTATTTTACTTTTGTACTTACTTTTTGTAAAACTAAATAAAGTTATTGGTAGTGTTACATCGAAAAAAAAATGCTTTCGATTATTTTGATCATTTCAGATATCTGAAATAATATAGTCAGGCTCAGCTCAAATCATATCACTTTATTCCTTGATTTTTGATAGACCTTCCTTAAAGATAAGAGACAAAATCCAAAAAAGCTATTAATAAACAACTGAAATTATATTAAAATATAGTGAAGGATACGATAAAATTCTGAAACTTAAAATTAACCAAAACTATATTAAAAATATAGTAAGGGATATGACAAAATTATTTTGAGAGAGTTTTGGCAAGTATTTTTAGCCCTTCTTCATTTCAATTTTATATATAAGTATAACACATTCTGCAATATATAGGAGGCAGTTAATAGAAAAGAAGAAATCCAAAATTTTTGTTAATTTTAATTATTAAGCTAATTTTGTACACATAACCAAGATTAGTCAAGTATTCTGTCTAATAATATAAATTTTGACCAAAATTTGGATTTCTTTCTTTTCTATTGATCACCTCTCATATTTTAATATAGATTTATCTTCATCAAGAAATTCCAATTTCTTAACTATATTTTCTTCACATCAAATTTGATTAAATATATAAAAGTAATTAATTTTTTATTTTTTTAAAAAATAATAATTTAATCTAATTTTATTTTTTTTAATTTTAAGAAAATACCTTAGGATTTTCATACTTGTGTATAAAAAAAGGAGCTAACTTTTCATTTTCAGTTGTATTACAGGTAAGTAAGACAGTTATATAATCTTTTAAATACTTAATTTCAAATACTTAACCATACGACTGAGTTTTATCTTTCAAAATAAACCCACTTTATCATAATTAAACATATTGTTAGAATCATAATTCTTAAGAATACTATGAATTTTATTACATATTACACCAAAATTATTAAGTAATGTAATTATAGCTTTACTATATATATTATATTACCATAAGTTATATTTAGCTTTAAATTTCTTATATAAGTCTTTAAGCTCAGAAGAACATTTACTTTATGTTATAAAATCATGTTTAATTCATTTTGAATGATAAAACAAAATTATAAATTAATTATTTATAAATAATTATTAATTACTTACTTTATTATGTTATTTAACAAATAGAAATGTAAGAAATTCTAAATATTTAGATGAAAGTAAAGTTTTAATATGTCAGCTTCCTAAAGCTAAGACTAAGAATGAAGTAGAGTTTTTATTTGATTAGTTATAATTGATTAAAGATAATAACATAAATGATAAAGAATCTTTTTTTTAAAAATATTATAATTTATTAATTAATCCATTTAAAAAAAAATAGATTGGATTATCAAATATAAAACACTCTGGATCATAGCATTCTTAAATCATAATTATTCATTAATAGATCATGATGTATTGAAAATTATACTATTTGATACTAATGTATTTAATGTTTACATTCAAACATTAATAAAAAAAGAATACAATTGATATTAAAACTGCTATTTTTCAATAAGTTTATTTGATTTATTAATATTATTTGATACAATTATTAATTATTATGAATTTAATATTTTTAGCTTATAGAATTATGATTTAAGTTTATACAAAAGATTTTATAATAATTGTCAATATAAAGAAAAGGTAATTATTATTTATAGTTAAAACATTATATAATTTATATTATTTAACATTATTTTTACTTAATTTAGAAAAACAAAATCTACTTTAATTCTAAAGTCATAAAATAAAAGGCAAAATAGTAATGTAAGAGTATTAATGAATATTGATATTGATTTTATATTGATGTGATATTATTATGATATCAAATCAATATAGATATTATAATGATATCAAATCAATATCAAAATAATATTATTGCAATATTGAATCGATATTATTAGAACTTGAAGGATTTAAAGTATTAGTTAAGTTATTATCTTTTTACTAATAGTTAATGAAGTTCTATTATTGACTGGTAATGAGAAGTAGCTATAGTTATTAGAAGTTTTCTTTAAAATTATTTTTTAAGTTATTTTTGAAAAGTTAGAAAAAGAGGTTTCATTTTATCTACTTCAATTGATAAAGATATACAGTTAAGCTTAATATATCAAATTCTTGATATAGCAAATTTTTAAATTAAATATATTATAAATATCTTACTATAATAAATTAATCAATTAAATTATTATAATCTTATAATAAAGTTGAGATTTAGATCTTAAAGTTCATTATATTAAAAGTTTACTATAAATAATATAATACAAATAAAAATAAGAACTGTAATTAAAATATTATAATTTTTAATGTTACAACATATGTTGCAATTAGTTATATTTTATAAATCATAATATTGTATATATTATAATTAATTTTAGCTTAAATTACAATAAGTTGTAAATTTAAAATTAATTGTTAAATTATTTTTAAATACAAATCTAATCAAATTTAGCAGATTATGAAGTAATAAAATTGATCAAATAATTAAAGAAATTGAAAAACTTAATGATAATTTTATTTTATTAAAAAAATACATTAACTAATTACTTTTATGAATTAAAAAAAATCTTAATTGAAGATATTTTAAATGATAATAATATTATATAATTAGTTAAAGGAAAAATTTGTAATAAAGATAATAATAATAATGATTCTAAAGAATCAAAATTAATATTTTTACAAATTTTGATTATATTTTTGATAAATTGCAAATAAATAAATTTAATATTAAAGATAATTATATCTTTAAAAAATACTTAATAATATAAAATAGCATGAATTTCAATTTTAAAAGCAAGTTCTAATCTCTAATTTTTTTAAAAGTTAAATTGAATTATATAAGCAATAACGTTTTTTTTATATAACTATATTATATATTATAATAAATCCTATTACTAAAGGTATTCTTTTAATACTATAAATAGGCAAAGGAAGTCTTTTCTATAATTCTTATTTATAAGGCTCAACAATATTAATTTTATTTTTATAATATAACTTTTTACTAAAAACAGAAATTTTTTCACCACTAAAAAATATTTGTTTCACACCCTTTAAATGTCACCGGTCACGTGGAATAATAAAACCTCAATTACTATTGGTTGAATAAATATTGGTGATAAATATAAATAATTTTTTTTAATAATCAAATTATATTAATAAATATATTAGTATCTTTGTTATAATTAAGAAAAGTGTATAAATGAATTAAAATTTCAAGCTATCGCTAATTCATTATGAGAAAATTCCAGTTATACAAACTTTAAAATATTTTTAATCAATATTGCACCATTTAGTTCCTCTTATTGAAATCTAATGAGATATTTCATTATAATTAATAATTGGAAGAAATTTGTTTAAAATAAAACACAATGATAATAAGAGATAAGGTTATAAAAATAAGTGATTGGGTAAGAAAATGTTTAAAGAATCGATCAAAAAGAACTTTGCCATTTTAAGATCAGAAGAACGTGATTCGTGACGTTTAGATGATCATAAGCCTTGAAATATAAACAACGTCATATGATTAAGTATTTTTTTTTTCTCATTGATTCCCTCTACCACTCATTTTTTTAATACCATTTCACTTTATGGTTACGTTGGTTACGTTGGTATAATTCTAGTCGAAATTGAATTATAAAAACGTTACTTAAATTATTGTTGTACTTTAAAGAATAATTTTTTAAAATTTTTTCTTTTATTCTGGTGGTAAATTTTCCAAAAAATAATAATAATAATAATAAAAATAAAATAAAATAAAAATTAAATGATTAATACAATTACAGTTACCACAATGAAACAAAAAAAACAGGGAAAAAAAGTTAATAAAGTAATTGATGCATCCTTAATTCACCAACAGTCACATGTACACACGACTCAACAACACCAACAAAGTCAACAACAACACACTCATATTTTGTCTAATCAAGGCTCTCTATCTATATCTCGTAATAAACATTGGAAATATATTTCTTCTTATCATGGACCATGGCTTCAACTTCCTTTAGAGCTTCTTGAATCTCTATACATGATTAATAATGATAATGTATCAACGCCTCCACTGATTGATCCAATTATTTTCGGTAATCTAATATCAATTCGTCGTTTAGTAGATGAGGCATCAGATTTATCTGTTCGTGCAGCTTCTGGAGTTTCAACTACCGGAGGAGGACCAACTAGAAGTTCAATGTCTCATACGCGGCAACATCGAATGCGTGAACTTGCTGTTAACAAGTTAGCTCTTGCTTATCGAATTGATGAAATAGCTACAGCAGTAGTAACGATGCAATCTGCTAGCGCAATTGATGAAGTTGCTAGTAGAGTACTAAAAAAGAATGCCACAAATTTAGAAGCGATATATGTTAATTTTTTTCACGAAAAGATTCCATCAAGGTAATTATAAAATCATTTAACATGTAAATTTAATTGATTTATTATCATTCCTTTTGTGTAAATTAATTATTAGAATTCAGCAGCTAGTTTGTGATGGTGGTTTCTTTAGATTAAAAAAAAATCTCGATGCGAAGGATGTCTCGTTCCCTTATAAATAATAATAATAATAATAATAATAATGGGAATAATAATATTTTAAAAATTTGGCTCCAACCTAATATTTTCACACTTTTTATTATACAAGTAGAATGCTTTCGCAGTCTACATCCACTGACGTACTTGATCAGATCATAGCAACATCTCCAACAACACCAGAATTTTATAGAACTCGTGGCGTTGTTAAATGTTTTAAAGAGGAGTTTTCAGGTGCTCTCCGCGATTTTAAAACGGCTTTGACACATGTAAAACATCGTAAACGTGTAAATAATGTTTTACTGGGAAAAAAATCGACTCTACCTCTTCATAATCATCATGGAAATGATGATGATGAATGCACAGGAACTGAAAGCCAGCTATACTTTTTACGTGCTGCTTGTTATTTACAATATGCTATTAGTTTAATAGATAAAGCAATTCAAAAAATAGATGGAGTGGAAAGAAAAGATGGTGAAGGCAGTGAATTAAGAATAGTAGCTGTTAAAAAAGGTACAGCAAATGGAAATCATCATGGATCATATCCGAAATTAGAAGAATATCGAGGGGAGTTCTTGCCAATAATGCATCAGATACGGAGTTTGGCAAACCGATCTTTGAGAGACTATAATCATTTTCTTACCTTTTACCCTAGTTCATTACCACCGTTTTCACCTATGAATTATGAAAATGTTTCAAAAGGCAGTACGCCTATAATTTCAAGAGATTCTTCTCCTGCTAGGCCTTTTAAAGAAAAAGGTGATAGTGCAAGTTCTCCCAGTAATCATACTGATCATCAGGTTGAACCAAAATTTATTGAAAGGACAAGTAAACTTGCAGAAAATGTTGGAGGATTATCACCTGAGACTGGAAATAACTCCTTTACGAGTTCTTTAAATGTTTCTAAGGAACATAGCAACCATAATAATAATAATAGTAATAATAATAATAATCATCAACATCATAACTCTCACCATTTTCACGGATTTCAATCATCTCATACATTTGCTACTTATCATCCGTTACTTATTGAGGCTTGGTATGCTATAGCGATAAATTATGTGCTTCTTGGTGACCTACATACCGGAGCTTTATGGCATGCACGTATTTCCGAAATGCATGAATATATTGAAGGATATCCGGTTTTTCTTCCAGCCAGATCAATGGCACAAGCTGATTATATGGAAGTTTTAGAGAGAGTAAAGAAAGTTACTAGTTTATCACAACATGAAAAGTTAAAAGAATTAATAGAAATGGTTAAGAAAAAAGAAAAAGAGAGAGAAGAGAAAGAACGTGAATGGGTTGAAAAACATCATCATAAAATGATTTTAGCTGCAGCAGAAGAAAGAGAAATGTACGAAGGAAAAAAATCCGGAGTGAAAATTGGAAAAAAGTCCAAGAATTTGAGACAAGTAAATAATAATAGTAGTATTACACCCGTTATTGGTATTGATGGTCAAAGGCATCATCCCTGTTGCCCTCTTGCACCTGGAAATCATTCATCTTCAAGAGAGCATAATCATACTACTCATAATTCCGGCTCATCGTCATCACCATCATCAACATCATCTAATGGTAACTCTAATGGTAATTCAGGGCCAAGACAATATCCTTTACATACTCAACGGGCCGATTCTGTTATGATGTGGTTAAGAGCCATTATTTTAAGACAAGAAAATGAAAATGAAATCAAGTCACCTATTATTATTACGACAGTGAATGCTAATAGTGAAATTAAACCTTCAATAAATGGTACGAATACGACGAATACGAAAATCGTTCATGATGTTAAAGCTTAAAAGGTGATCATTTATAAAAATTTTGTCGTTAGAGTTGGAGCATTTTTATTTATATATTATTATTATTATTATTTTTTTTTTTTTTTTTTTTTTTTTGATAACAAAAATATATAATATATATTTTTCTTATAATGATTCGTAAAAAAAATAAAATAAAATAAATAAATTTAATCAATTAATAAGTATTGAAGGTTGATAAAAATAATAGTATAGATTTATTATATTCTTGTTTCGTTTTAATATAAAACCTTTATTTTAGTAACTTTACAATATATTTATTATATATTTGTACCTTTTTTTTTTTTTTTTTCTTTTTTTTTTAATAGATAAATTTAGCTAAATCTATTAAATTTACAGCGTGTTGCATGCAGATGCATGCACATTTGTTTATATGTAACATATCTGTATAATTAAATATGAAAAATATAAAATATATTTAACAAAATATATGTATTGAGGTTCTGTTTTTAAAGAAATTAAATTTATTTCTATGGTTTTTAAATAATGATAAATCAAAAAATGGAATTAACAAAAGTTCGACTTGACTCTGACTTATTGAAATTGGATGATTACTAATACAAATAATGAAAATGATTTGTTATAATGCCCTTTCCCCTTATCTTCCAAATTACTTATTTTACAAAAAATACTGTCCAACACCGGCCCTGGCAGGAATAGATCTTTCTTGATCAGGAACCGCATTAAAAATTTTAAAACTACTTTCATCAATTTGTAAATTTTCCTTGATTTGCATAATTGACGCTACATTACCACATCTATAACAATAATTAGGCGCAGACCAGACTGTAACTAAGTTATCATCAGGAAACATATATTTATATCCTTCTTGTACTAATTGATGTGCTCTGGCTATTAGACTTAGATCATTAATTTGATTAAACTAGTAAAAAAATTGTTTAATTTTTAGAGATATATTTTTTTCCGAGAAAAAGAAATTAACTCGTGGATCAGTCTATTTGTCCTCACCTCATTCGTTACTTTTGCTCCAAACAGCCAACCGGCACCTCGAGGACTCACAGCCCATGTTTCAATATCTTCAGGATCAGACCACATCAAATCTAAAAATAAAATTTTGTAAAAAAAAAAAAAATAAAATAAGAAATGAAAATTTATCTATATAAAAAAAGATTGAATACCGGACATAATATCATATGACTTGTAACGTGATTTTCCTAGCATAGGCTATATATTCTTATTGCACGTACCACAAAAAGCACCCTCATGAGGAATTTCTTGAGCTCTAGGTATTGTTCTTATTTGATCTAATGTTCTGACTTCAGGGGATAATCCACCATGAACACATAAAACGCGTCCATCTACAATCTAAATATTTTTTTTTTTAAAAAAAAAAACTAGGTTACATTATATTCGATAGCAGAAGGATATTATGTATTAAACTGTCCTTACAGCTGCTAATGTTAAATAATCAAACACTTGACAACAATATTTCCAAACATTTGGATTTCCATATTTTGTTTGACATTCATCTACAGATATGTATATATATATATAAATTATTTCAAAATATAATAATAATTTATTTGTAAAGACTCACCATAAAATCCATACACTTGTGTGATTTGTCTACTTTCATGATTACCTCGCAGAAGTGTAATTTTGTCCGGATACCTATATTTAATAAGAGGTTACCGAATGAACTTTAAATAAATTGATAAAACAAATTTTATACAAAACCTTGCTTTCAAAACCATCAATAAGGTAAATGTTTCTAAACTATAATAACCCCTATCCACAAAGTCACCCTAATTTAATAATTTTTTTTTTAAAAAAATATTCGATTGAAATACGTATAAAAGGTAATCCGATTCACAATAATTCAATTAAAATTTCTGACCATAAATATATAATGAGTATCAGGAATTTCTCCACCAACATGAAATAATTCTAGCAAATCATAAAACTGTCCATGGATATCTCCACATACCGTAACAGGTGTGTGTACAGGCTGTATATTTGATTCCTCCATTAATAATTCTTTAACCTATCATAATTAACACAAAGTGATTTTTTTTTTTTTTTGAAACAAAAGGTAAGTTTAGGAACATAAAGTATAGAGAAATACTTTGACTTACCATTTCACAGAGCCTTTTCATATCAGGCTCAGGTAAATACTGACATTTCCGTATAGTAACTAACCATTCATCAGGTCCGGCCATTTTATTTTTTTTTCGTTGGTATTTTTTAAAAAGTAAAAGTGAAGGGATGACATTTAATTCGAGAATTTCAACGGTTATGCTAGTGAGATTTTGTAACACGAGATCTTGTGAAACCTTGTTTCTCCTTATAAAATGATGAAATACCAAGTTGTATTTATTTATAATTTATAATGTACTACACAAATATATATATATACACAATAAAAAAATTTAAAAAAATTTAAAATATCCTTCACTTTAAATACCAAAAAATTTATCCATATTACTAATTGTACCTTCGATTGGAGTATAATTTTTTGCATTACCAGCAGATAATTTCCCAATTTCAAATACATTCCAATTACCCTCAAAAGAATTTCTTGCAGCCACGCACATTATTACAGCTTGTGAAGAAGCAGCGGATTGAATAGTATAAGAACATAATTGAACATTGGGTTTTGAAGGATCAAACATTTTAAAGGATGGATTTGGAAAATGTCCTATATTTGGTGAATTCCATGAACTTAGGATAAAATATAGTTTTGATACAGTTTGTGGTAATGATGCCAAATTTGCTGTTATACGATGATGTCCTATATATAATTGACAGGTTTTAAAGTAAAAAGTGATATTTTTGTTTTTAAAAAATAAATAAATGAATTTTACGTACCCCTCTTCTCTGCGTGATCCATAATGTCACCAGAATGTGACATATTAGGGATATCATGAAAACTTGTAGATTGATAATCAAAACGACGCCAAAGTTGACCAGCATTATTTCCAGAACCCGTATAAAGCAAACAGGTACCATCTAAATAATCACATCCACTTGATGGATACCCCCAGTATAAATCAAACGTTAGTGCGCTGATGGATAATTCTTTTGATATAGAATATAATAATACGATAAGTTGTATATGACTTTCTGATACTATGTGATATTCTGATAATGGATTTTGAATTCTTCCTTGATTTGTATATGTCTAAAATATCCAAAGGAAAAATTAAAAAAAAATTCAAAATAAGGAAAATCTTTCTTCAAATAACAAACTTACTTGCAATTCAACACCTTTATGAATTAATTTTTGTTTAGTAGTCTCGATTTTAGTTTGAACTTTAATAGCTTCCTTTAAAGCTCCAACAGTTTTAATATTTTCCAATCTAAATTTTAATTTGGTACCGTTTAATAATACAACATAAAAATCCCCTGCAGTAGCATTACCATGCCCGTCAACTTCCCCATTTTTTGTTGAAATCTTTTGTGAATGTAACTCTGAAATGTTTTCGATATTAATTCTAAATGGCGCTTTTTCCCACGATATATTCAAGTTTTCAATCTCTTTTGCACTAATATTTGCTTTACATTCTGGACATTGTTGTTGTGCGGCAATTAATGGGTCTTTAGAATTTATATGATTTATTATACACTTTATTTCCAAGATGGAGGCAAGGAAATTAGAATTAGTTAAAATTATATTGAATATGAACGTGAAAATAAATCATTTTTACCTTTAAACAAAAAGTAGAGATATGAAAACAATTTTGGCTAATAATATCATTTGGAAATTCTCGAGATAATTTATCAACTTTACAATTTGAACACTTCATTATTTTAAAAAAATTAACAGGTAAAGACTTTGCTGGTTTTTTTTATTTTTTTTTTATTTATTTGCTTTCAAAATGAAAATACACAGAGAAAAAAAAATTATAACAATGGGAGGTTTGTTATTAGTAAAGTCCGAAATCATATAAAAAATATTTTTGGTAGTTTGTGTCATAAAAATAAAACTCGAAAAACAAGTTTTTTGATTCATGTTTAACAGATAAGGGATAATGAATATGGCACAGACAAGCATGAATATGCAATGATATTTCACAAACTACTTTTAACTTTTACGTTTTTTTCCCACCAAATTTTTTCTCATTCATAATTCACACTTGCAAATAAAAAATATGAAGTGTGTTAAGTGTAATCATGACAAACTTTCCAAAGAATTTCCATCAACAACAATTACAGTTCGTTGTAATCATATTCCTGCCTTTTGTTTAAGAGTAAGTCACTAACCTATTCTTTTCTTTCTTTTAATAATTACACTTAAAACTTTTATTTTTGCCCCACTTCGAATATTATAGTGCTTAATAGATAATTTAAATTTAAAAGATAAAAATGTTAAGTGTCCCGAATGTAATGAGAAGTTAACTCCGGATGAAATAAAATTTTTAACTTTAGCTTGGGATAAGGCACCATTTAAAATTGATATAGAAAGTATTGGAAACGTAAAAACACAACAACCTTTGACCGCAGACGGAGCTATTAATGCGACAGGAGACATTTACATTGTATTATTAAATGGACAAAAATGTAACTTACCATTCATTCAAACTAAAACAATTCTGGCTTTGAGGAAAGAAATTAGAAATAAATTAAAGGTTGATGAGGGCAAACAAAAGTTAATTTATAATGGTATTGAGCTGCAGGTAATTTATCTTTTTATCAATACAAAATTTGTTGAATTTTGAACATTCAATTTTGTTTGATTCTATATTGTAGGATCGAAAAACTGGACCAACGCCAACGCAAAGTACATTACAAGATTATAAAATTGTACCAGGATGTCATATTCAATTGATTGTTGTGCTTTATAATATTACACGTGCAGAATCCATCAAGAACTTAACATTTGATTTATTTTGGGGCTATCCTGCAAATGGAAATCAAGACTATTTGGATGGAACTTGTTTACTCTACATGGGGTAAGCATAAGAAAATTTATTTTATTTTCAAGAATTTCATCTAAGAAAATGAACGTTAGTACTGATTTATCATCATATTATCAGTGACACATTTTATAGAAAATATGATTATGCATCAGTATTTTATCCATCATTTCCATATATGAAACACTCAGGTGATTTAATGGATAATGCAAATAAAAGAGGTCATCAGCAAATTACGGCTAATTTAGATCAATTGCCAGCTGAAGTGACGCAGTTATATTTCGTTCTAAGCTCATTCAAATCTCCCACCATTGGTCATTTTCAAACTCCAAGTTTTAATTTGGTAGATCAAACTCAACCTGATAAACCGTTATGTTCTTATCAATTAGAACAAGCAGCTAATTCTCAAGCTGTTATTATGTGTTGTGTTACTAGAGTTGGTCAGGGTATGTGGCAAGTCATTCAAATTGGTAAATTATCTAATGGTAATGCTGAAAATTATGATCCTATCGAATATAGTATTATACAATGTGGTTTATTCGGATAAAAAGATATATTTTATTCGTTTGTACTCTTAAATTGATTTGTTTTAATTTTGTTTATATATATATGTGTATATTTCATTAAATAAATTGTGGTTTATTTCTTTTAAAATTGGTTACAAAAAAAAATTGTAATCGTTATTTCTGTAAAATATATTTACTCCCGACTTACCAATAAATTTCGCACGTCGGCAATTTGAAAATTATTTAATAAAAATAAATCATGGGATGACTACCTTAGTATCATCACTTTTTTCATTGTAACCGGCCGGAATTACGGCATTAAGAAATTAATCGTACAAATGTGACAAATGGCGTGTAACAAATAGGATTTCACATGCTGAGTCGACAAAATTATGCAAGTCACGTGGCAAAATTTTAGGGAATATGCATCTAATCACAAAGTTTACGTGTCTTTATGTCTTCTTATATTTTATTACTTTACATAAAGTTATATATCTTTATGTTTTCATATATTCTATTTCCTTACATAAAGTTTACATGTTTTAAAACTTTTTACAAAAAAAAATGCCAAAAAGTTTAAATACAGATTCCTTAAAATCAAATATTTTTATTTTTTGAATTTATACAGTTAAATATTAAAATAAAAGGTATTTCTAGATAGCTTTTACTAAATACGTTTAAAAAAAAAATGAATTCACAGTTTTAAAGGCATTTTTTTACTAATAAAAACTTAGTAAAAATAAACTTTGCAATTTTAAAGATGTTTTTTATTAAAGAAAACTTAGTAAAAATCAACTTTTCAACTTCAAAAGCATATTTTATTAAGAAATTTTTAATAAAAACTACCTTTGTAGATTCAGAAATATTTTTACTAAAATGCATCTGTAACTTCAAAAAATTTTATATTAACAAAAAATGCATAGATTAAAGATGGATCTGTAATTAATTTTAAAGTTACAACTACTTTTTATATTATAATAAATTTTATAAGAAGTTATAACTTATCAAGTTACAATTTTTTTTAATTATAATATCATTTTTAGCATACATATAATACTTTTAATAAAAATATTTCTAAAATTATAAAGGCAGTTTTTACTAAAATTTTCTTAGTAGAAATGTTTCTAAAAGCTGCAGAACCAATTTTACCAAAATTTTTTTAATAAAAATATCTTTGAAACTAATAATATATTATTCTTAGTAAAAAAAATTATGATTATTAAAATTGCAAAAACAATTTTTACTGTTTTCTTAAAAAACTCTAAATCTACAAATGTATTATTATTAATTTTTCTTAGTAAAAAAAATGCTTCTAAAATTATAAATATTATTTTACTAAGATTTTTTTAGTAAAAATATTTTAAAACTGCAAAAATTTTTACTATAATTTTTTTTAATAGAAATCATCTTTAAAATCATAAAGTTTTTTTTACTATAATTTTTTTAGTAAAAAATATCTTTAAATTCACAAAATAGTTTTTACTATAGTTCTCTTAGTAAAATGCTTTTAAAATTTGCAAAAGTATTTTTTTTATTAATGTTTTCTTAATAAAAATTATTTTTAAAGCTTTGAAAATAACTTTTTTAATTTATTCAAATCAAATCAAAAATTAATTGTATTTGTATTAAATAATTATTTTGATTTAATTCTAATCAAAAATAAATATGTGATTTGATTTTCAAATTAAATATTCAAATATTAAATCAAATTATAAAATTTTAATAATTATATTAATAATTTTTGTAAAATACTAAAAACTCATAAATAAAATTGTTAGATAAAATCTAAAATTTAACTATATTAAAAAATTACTAGAAAAATAGCAATATTGATAAAATAGTAATGTCTAATAAAGCTACTTCCTTTAAATTTTAATTAAATTAAAATTAATAAATCATATAGAAGTTTTAAGTAAAAAAATATAAATTCTAAAAAAATTATATTTAGCTTAATAAAATAAAATTTTAAATTTTTTAAAGTTTTATATCTTTCTATTATAAAATGGCTATATAATAAAAACAATGATTTTAATCATATAATATTAATTTAACATGATTTTAATACGTATAAGAAAATTTAAAATTATATTAATTAGTATTAAAAGATAAATCAATCATTCTCAATTCAAATTGTTATCTATAAATAATTTTAAAAAGTTTTAAATCAGTGAGTTTTATTTTCAAAGTAAATTCTAAGAAAGTGATAGACAATATATTATTATAAAAAAATTTATTATTATTAAATATAATAAAAGCAATTTTGATAGGTTTCTAAAATAAATTTTCTTAATTTGAAAATGTAAATTAAGCTCTAATATCTATTATAATAAGGAATTAATATTATTTGTTTTTTATAATAGTTTTTTCTTTTAGGTCAAAGATATTATCAATTATATAAAAATATATAGTGATTAAGATTGCTTATCTAAACTCATTCAGATTTAACTAAATATCTATACTATATATAAAATCAAAATTAATTATTTTAGATGTTCAAAATAGTTGAAATGGTCAAAACTAAAGATAGTACAGCAATTGATTTCAAATTTACAAAATGTTGTAACATAAGCTAAAATTAGTTGTAACATATATAGGTTAAAACTACATCAGGAAAATTTTTATAGCGAAGTACTTCGAAAAATTTACGATTTGTAAATATTTCGAAATTCTTCGCCAT